TTCTTGGCGGATATCAGGTCGTGTCCGCTCCCTGAGTCCATAATGAACCTCTTGTCTCGCTCCTCAACTGGGACCGTGATGCACATGACGTTGTCCCTTTTCCCGTAGCGCCCATCAACATGTTGGACATAGTTCTCAGTGAATACTTCACGTGTGATATCATCATCATCATGTTCCATTCTGATCAAAATATCCAAAGTTGGGCCAACGATGATAAGGACTTCGTCAATGTCACTGTAGTCATACTTCTCGTCCAGAATGATAGCCATTGCCTTCCCACGACTTCGAGCAAGTCTGCAAGAATAGGCCCACTGTTCATCTTTTCTAATTTCATCAGTGGTTCTGCCTAACTTGTTGTGCCCTTTGGAATGAGTTTGGGACTTTCGCGAACTCTTCACATAGTCCTTCTTCTCGTAGACATAGACTTCATCTTTCTGTGGATTGAACTTGACCTTCTTCTTCACTACATTGGAAGCAATCATGAAAGGTGGCTAATCCACATCGCTGTCGTCGTGGAGAAGTGCAGGGGCCGCTTTTGAGCATGATGGAGATTCAGTGTTTGGTGCAGTGTTGAACAAATGAGCATCATGTCGTTTGTTACACTTGTCACCATATCGACATTTGCCTTTTGCCCAGTGCCAGCATGGTTCGTCAATCTTCTTGGCCTTGTTGGCCGGAGATTGTCCTCTTGGCGTCTTGCCGCCTCCTTTACCATGTCCACCGCTCTTGCTGGCGTCAAATATCTTTTGATCATGGCTGTACTCACAGTCCTTCCCTTTCCGGCAAGACTTCTTGATGAAATGGAAGTGACATGGTATCTTCTTCTTATCACGAGGACTGGCACTTCGGCTCTTAGACTTTCCTTTTCTTCCTTGCCCTTTTCCTTTGGCATGTTGTTTTGGTTGAGGTGATGGTAGTACAGGAGCAGCATCAGATTTTGCTTTGGGCTTCGGAGCAGCCTTCTCCTTTGCTTTCGCCTTGGCGTTTGCATCAGGAGGGGCTGGAGCAGTAGGAGTAGGCGCAGTCGGCCTACCACCGCCGGCAAAATCTCTGGCATACTTTTCCCTGGCTGCAACATGCTTGTCTTCTCTGATCCTGGCAATGTGGCGCTCAATCGCATTGATGAGATACTGATACGTTCTCCTAGGGTCTCCCTCCAACCATGATTCATATTGCTTGATGTCATACATCATCAAATTGGAGTTTCTGATCTTCTTATATAATGCATCACGCAACCAATCATCTTGGGGTACGTCCTCAGGCATCATGTTGGAGACAATTTTTTATTTACTTTTCATAGAACGTCTCAATGTTGGCATCATCAAGGTATCGTGATTGAATGATATGCTCCATAGTGAAGGCAGTTTCACGTTGACCTGGTGTCCTGAAATGTTCCAGAATCATGGCAAGAATCTCTCGCCCCATGACAAAGGTTGCTCTTCGATTGCTGGCTTGGGTTCTCAGTCGGAGCTTGATTGCAAGATGTCGAGCTACATCACCAGCTTGTGAAATAACGTTTGATAGTGGAATGGAAAGCTTCGCATCAATAGACTGAAACCTTCTCGTCTGGATATCCTTGGAGGTTCTTCAGCAGTGAAAGCAGTTGTGGACTCCAAATCAATTGCTGAGTCCCTCTGTGATCCACGAAGCGAAGGCAAACCAGGTGGATTAGGAGGTCCAGGAGGTCCGTTAGGATCAGGAGGCCCACCTGGAAAGTCAGGATCATCATTGCCGTCAGGCCTTCGGTAGTTGGGAATTCCTGCTCCTTCATCTACGCTAACTCCTTTTCCATCCAGAATCTTCTTGTTGACCTCACGCAGGAGTTCAGTCACCCTCTGATTCTCAGGATGTGATGGTTGCTGATGTGCATGTCCTGTACCCGCAGCCATGTTAGAATGAGCCGTTGCGGATTCTTTGTTGAGTTCGTCATCAAGCTGTCGAATCCATGCACGTAGAATATTTGACTCATCATTTGCTGCCTCGATATCACTCTCCAACTTACCGATGATCATGTAGGGTGAGGGGCCACTGCTTGTGATACCTGCGGAGAAGGGAAGTGCGTTGAGACTCTCCTGACTTTTGATGGCTATCTCTGTGTCTATGAGACTTTTCCTTAATCTGGATATCTCCGCATCTTTCATCACCAATTTCTCATCCCTATCCCTCAGCTCACCCAAATATTCACATGATCGTTCGTATTGTTGGGCTCCTGTGGCTAGCTTGTACTTACGTTCGCTTTCAAGCTCAGTCCTGAGGATAGCGACCTCGGATCCGAAGGGGGTCGACGACCCTTGCCTCGAAACCTCGGCCAATTCGTCCTTCAATCTGATATTTGTGTACATACATTCATCCATTTCTTCAGAAAGATCTTGGGCCCTAACCTGTGCGACCTTAACCTCAGTTTCGAGATGTTGAATGGCATGTTGGTTAGAAACGTGGCCGATGGCCATTGGGCCCTCCTGAAGAGATCGTCTCAGTTTAACGTTTCGGTCCTCAATCTCGGTCTTGAGCTCGTTCGTCAGCGCTCGCTCATTGCTGTAGAGCATTTCATAGTGTTCCATCTTCTCGCGAGCATTTGAACTGACGCTTGATTCGAACCTCAAGTGAGCAATAGCCTCAGCCTCGGTATTCCTGTAATTGGCGAACCGTTTGACTGTATCATGTTCTGTGTTTCGATGACGTAGGTCACTTTCCAGTTTAGCATTGTTGGCTTCATTGATTTTCTTGCGATACTCTCTAGTGATCTGCTCCATGTTGTTTTCATACAGCTCGGCTTGTTTACGGGAATGAATGAGTGCTTCACTCAACATCTGGTTCTCATCAGTGAGCTCATTGACAGCAAAGGCTTGTCTTTGACTTGTCATCTCCAAATGGGTATGTGAGAAGTTTGCCAGTTCAGATTGACTACGATATTCCACTATGGAACTCTCAAGATTTCTCTGCATCTCATTTCCTTCTTTGTACAATGTTTCGGCTACACTCCTAGCAAGGCTACTATCATTTTGCATCTGTTGAAGACGTGATTCGGTGTTCCCAAGTAGTCCTTGAAGGTGGTGCACCTCGTCCTTGTACTCTTCCTGGATCTCAATACCACGTCTATGGATTCGTCTGGCACCATGTTCAGCAAGTGCACCTCGACGTTCAAGCTCTTCAATACGGATGGTTGCACCTTCATCTTCCTTGGAAGCCAACATCAACTCAGCATGGTATTCAGATACTTCATTCGTCGAATACATCAATCGTCTGTTGAGGGTGTTAATTTCATTGAATACCTGTTGATTATGTCCGCGAAGATATTCGGTGAACTTGGCCTCAATGTCCCTAATGACTTGGTCCCTTGAAGCAGCGTACATCTCGGTTTGTGTCACTTTCTCTCTCAGAGTTTGACATTGTTCCCTAAGTTCTTCAATGATAGCTATTGGTTCACTGCTACCACGTGCTTCTGTTGATCTTCTCTTGGCACTGACATCACTTGACTCCCTACCAGGTTTGTCCTCGACTGCCCTCGGGGTCCTGTGTCCGGTAGGTGTCCTTCTCGGTGGATCGGTGGCTCCGTCGTGCATTCCCACTTCGAGCCACATCACGTGCCGATCTTGGGGTACTGGTGGTTGATGCTCTTCGGTGTCTAGAAGTCATCTTTTGCCATCCAGATTTTGTCGTCCTTGTTGACTTTTCCCCGCTATCAGCTGTTCCCGGAGAAGATTGTGATATACCTTCTGCAGGAGCTGCGGCATTGCCGTCAAAGGTAAACTGCGTCTCTCCGCTGTCGCCTTGCATCTTTGCGATGCTGGTGCTGATCGGATTTCACGATCGTTCGCACCCAACGCTGGTTAACAGCACGCAGGTACTCCGCCTCCGATGGAGGTTGAGAGCCCTTACGGCTGATAACCTGTGAACAGAATTATCCCTGTTCCGGATATGTCGATTGGCTAGTCGTCTCGAAGTCTTGCGTGCTGTCTCCAGCGTTTCAAGTGTGCATGGCAGAGGAACGCGCTCTTTTCTATGCTTAGTTGTGGTCTTGAGCCAACGTGGCGTTGGCGAGCAATCCCATTGAAATACTACGGGGGGTATTGACACTGTATCCCCGTAGAGTCCCCATTTGCACAAATGATATCACATGATATTTGTCAAATTCATTAAATGATGCAAATACACTACATTCAAATGAGAACTGGATGGAAATTGTTTTAGTAGGTGTGATTGAGGCTTCAACTGTGGCAACTGCAGTTATAAATCTTTACAATCCTTTACATAGGTCTTTACCGTCTTTACATATTCAGTACATTTCAATACTGAGGGAGTACGTGTCATGTCCATATTCTGTCCATGGCTGCCTGTGGTTCAGGAAGACCGAATGATCTTCTTGGACATGAATGAATGGTGGTCGTCATTGGCATCATACTCTACACAGATTATAATGATTATATACAAAAACCTCTGTATATATATATATATATTATTATTACTATGAAGCAAGTGTACTGGCACCAACTAACACATGCTAACAGGCACTTAACTTTAGTAACTTTAGTCCAAGGATGTCGAAGGGATGGCACGCGGTTTCCTGGACATTGGCTGCAGTGGTGACCGGTGCGCAAGCGGACTCCACAGCACGCCGCTTCACTGCCAGCACAGCTGCACCACACTTGCAGCTTGCCGATTCTTTTTGTGAAGCTTTGGCGAAAGCAAAACACCAACACGACATGTGCATCGAGAATCATCGAGGGTCATCGAGGGTCATTGAGGAACGAGGTATGGATCTGGGATGATCTGGGACAGGCCACCCCTCTCCCTGGAGGCCACATGAGGAATGCCCCGGGACAAGGCCGACAAGACTGAGGGCCTACAGGGCCTACAGTGCCTACTGTATAGGGCTTACTACAGCAGTTACATGGAGTTACTTCAAGGCGGTGCAGAGTCCGAGTCCAAGGAGTCCAAGGAGTCCACGGGTTCACGTCAGTTCACGTCATCGCACTACTTGGATCTACTTGGGGCTTCGCATTCTTTCAACTTGTTCTGCAGCTCGAGCATCTCAAACTGCTCCTTGAAGCATCTTAACTCATTTTGAATCATCTTGAATCTGGAATTCTCTGGAATTCTCTCTATAGATTTCGATCTTCTCAGGAATGTGGCTTCGAGATGCTCAGAAAATCTCTCTGCCTTTCTCAAGTCCTCTAACGCTTCTTGGTGGTTTTCAGTTCTGCTCAAGGCTAAATCGGTCCGCGTCCTTCTGCAGCGCTTTGTTCAACTCAACCTGTTTCAGATTGATCCGAGAATTCAAGAGCATCCACAACCAATGGTAGAACATCCACGTACGAAAACCAAGTTGAGAGATGTTGAGAGATGTTGAGAGCCTCTTCCTTCTTCATTTTCCGCTGTTGCTCCTGATGCGT